GCGCCGAAAATCCTTCGGACTTAAAACGCAAATCTAATTAACTACCGTAGTAATATCACAATTTTTTATGCTTATAGCATCATAAATTGGATCTTAACAATATGTTGAAAGACATATTAAATTTTAAAAATGTAAAGTTAAAGTAATAATAAATGTAAATCTAAGAAAAAAATAAGATTGCGAAGAATATCACAAGTTAGCGTTTCGTCGCGGCTTCCCACTACTATCACTCAGTAAGGTAGTCTCATAGTAAGACTCATCAGTAAGGTAATGTAGCGGGAGCCTATCTTAGACTTTGGTTTAACTTTTTAATTTTGTAATCTTTTATATAATTTAATAAGGAATAGTACCACTTGAGTTTTTCTTTTTAATAAAAAGAAACAGGGCTACGAGCTTATAAATTCGTTAAAATTTTTTAATTTATTCTAATATATTGCGAAGAATATCACGTAATTTTGGCATTTCGTCCCAGCTTCCATTACTAGACTCATCACTAAGGTATTGTAGTGGAAGCCTACCTTAGACGCCTGGGAGAGTTATTCAATCGAGATTCTATATGAAGAGATATACGCGTGTAACAGCACTTACGAGAATTTGCGAATATCAGTAGACCTCTGATGGCGGGTCGACGTAGTAATATTCTTTGCAATATTTATCAAAGTAAGAATAACGTCTCATTTACTAAATTAATAATTAACTCATATATATACGTAATCCCCCCAAATTGCGCGCTGATCAATCGTCGGTCTTGAAACGCAATTCAAATCAACCAATTGATTTTCCTTCTATCTTTCTTATTCTTCCTTCTTGACCTGTTTTCTGATTCTTTTTTTTTTTTATATTGTTATTTTCCAATATTTCTGGTTCTGTCTGTTTTTTCCTTTGCTTTCTTTTCCATTCCTTTAACTAAATAAGACGGATAAAAATAGAATTAGAATAGAAATAAAAAAGGAAATGGAGAAAGGACATAAAGAATAGAGAGAATCCTTATCTTTCCAGCCCTTTTACTAAATAATAAAATAGAAATGGAAAAGAGAGAAAGGAATAAAGAATAGGGAGAATATAAATGAATAGAAGCTTTAAAGCTTATTAAGACGATCTTTCACACTAAAATAAGAGTTGATATCTGGTTAGATCTGGTAGACTATGATTACCCCTACTGGGAACTTACTTGTAAAAAAACTTTTAAATTTGTTTTTAAAATATATTTTTCCTTCTGCAAGGAAATTTATAAAAAATTTGTAAATATGTTAGTTACACAGCCGATTAAGTAATTGGGGTTGGTGAATCGTATTATGGTCATGTTCTCTCGACACGAGGGGAGCGTGAGTAAGATAACTTTCAATTCAAGCCTATCCTTTCAATAAATCTGAAAATAAAATACAGGACAAAGAATCAATTCGGTAAAAGTATCGATTAGGGGACCCCCCCCCCCCCAATGACCTTGATCTTGACATATGTTGTCAAGGTCATGATCCTGAGTAACCTCCAACAAGTTTTAGCCGTCGCTCGACCTTCGTTAAAAAGTTATTAACAATCATAGTTTTAAAATTAACATATGATATATAATACATGTATGATATTATAAGTACTATTCTACACCTTTTCCTGTCAGGAACGTTAAACTTTCCACGCGAAGTAACTTTCACCCCCCTCCCCCCCGTTGCCAAGGGGCACACGACTTCCATGATTGTACTGTTGCTTTGATTGTACTGTTGGGGGAGACCTCTATCGACGGGGCCGGTGAGGGAGGGGGGCGTTCATTAGACGTGAGACAAGAATAGCACAACATAAATAGTGATGATAGCGCTCTACTCGAACGCAGCCTATCTGATTCGACAATCGTGAACATGTTCTCGTCGCTCTCTTTATCTTAGAACACATACTACTGGAAAGTGGAATTGTCTATGCTACCCATATACCAAACATGAAGCCAACGTCTGTGCGAGAGAGACAGGTAGAGTCACAAATGTTCGCAATACGCATGTACTACTCAACCTCCACTTTGTTCCCGTCAAGGATACGTAACTTAAAACCTTTGAAACTTACAAACACTGCGTGCATGACAGTGCATGAGAACACTAAATAACTGTATAATTCATGCAGACGATAGTATTGACGCATGTGCATTGCGAACATTTCTGAATCTATACCTTCCTCTCTCGCACAGATATTGGCTTCACGTTCAGCACCTTATTCCGCTTCCAGTAGTATATGTTCTAAGCTCTTCATACAGCGCGCGATGGCCGTGAGCGTGAAATGAATTTGTTTGATGTTGTTATATGCTGTGTTGAGTTATTTCTTGATTTTTGAAGTGTTTGAGTTAAGAATAAAATAGTTTTACTTACAAGTTTATAAAGAATAAATGTTAAATAAAAGCATGAATTATACTTCGAGTGAGAATTCAATTTCGAGTGAAATAATAAGTGAAAAGAATAAATGCAATTATTAAATATTTATTGTTTTATTTTATACTCCATTCTTAATTTCTTTAAAAAATATTTTGTACTTAATATCTTATACTGTGTTCTAATTAAAATAAAAAGGTACTGCCAATGTTGAAAATATATAATTTACATTACATATATATATTGTATATTTATTTATATATAGGTGTACAAATAAGTTTTAAAGCGTTTTTAATAAAATTTAATATTTATTTATTTAGAAATAAAAACACACTTAATTATCAAAATAATCCTCGTCATTATCTATGACCTTTAGCCTTTCGGGCAACTTGCGAAAACCAGAAACGAAAAAGGTTTCGTCTTTCGATGCGATAAAATTAACCATCCATTTTCGCACTTCTTCAAATGCTCGAAAGTATACACCGGACAAGGCGTTTTTCATTGACTGGAATAAATGATAGTCTGAAGCTATGTCTGAACATGACGCTTAGCGTTGTTATAAAACAATTTCACGGGACGTTTTCCTTCGGCAGTAAATAGACGATTTTGTTCGATTTCTTGATTTAAATGAATCAATTGTTGACTGTAGCGATCACTGTTAATCGTTTCATTCGGGTGGAGCAGCTCAAAATATAGCACACCCTTCATATCTCACCAGAGATAGCATAGCATAACTTTGCTGCTGTGGATGTTGCGTTTTGGCGTTGATGTTGTGGGTTGTCCTGGATCCACATAATTTTTTCTCTTTTTAGGATTATCGTAAAAAATTCACATTTCATTACCAGTCACGATTTTCCACAAAAAAGATTTTCTATACTGTTTATTATACAGATTCAAACACTTCTCAAGACGATCATTTTGTTTTTTTCATTTAATGCATGCGGCACCCACTTTTCTTCGTTCAGAATCTTTCTCATCTGCCGTAAACGAATTGAAATATCTTGTTGAGTTACTCCAAGTTGCTGTGCAAGTTCTTTTTGTGTTTGACATATATTTTGATCGAGTAATGCTTGATTGTCTGTAATATTCTGAGGAGCACCACTACGTTCTCTATCGCTAACATCAAAATCATCCTCTTTAAATCGCCTAAACCAAACACGTACTTTTACATACAACATTGTTTCCAACAACAGACCAAATTTATTCATATACTTTAGCATCGCTTTTTCCTTAATTGAAATTTGTATTGAATGCAATGTCGAATAAATTGCTTGTCGTCTGTCATTTTAAAGCCATTTAATTTTGAAGTTAAGTTCCCAATTGTATGAAGTCAATTGTTTTTTTAATAGTACACATTAAGCGCCACCACATATCAAAAAAGCGCGAAAATATTTTAATTCTAAGTTTAAATTATACGTTACACAAAAAACGCTTTAAAACTTATTTGCAGGGTTGTTAACGTTACTTATAAAAGTAACGTAGTTACTGGTTTCGTTACTTTTTTCAGTAAGAAATGAGTAACGTATTTACTTTTTCTAGCGAGTAACAGTAACGGTAACTAAGTTACAATTTTCAATAACGAGAAACATAATTTTACATTACTTTTCTCGTTATTCTGTTGGTTCCGACATTTTACTTCAAAGCTATAAAGCTTCTTCTTGGACTGGATTCGGAGAGACGCTATTAGCGCTATTTGTGTAATTCTATCTTCATTGTCCATTAGACGTGAGACAAGGATAGTACTACACAAATGGCGCTGATAGCGCACTGCCCGAACCCAGCCTTCGTCTTCTTCTTCATTTAATGGCACCCGCAAGCGATCGCCTGCGAATAAACACCAGGTAAAGTCACTAGATTTATAAAGTACCGTAAATTCGCATTCATTTTTGCGCAAAACGCGGCCATTTCAAATTTGTACGCAGTTGTGTATACGTACTTTATTTGTAAAAATGTAGCCGTCGAATATATAAATCAATGTTGTTGAATTGTAATCAGTTTATTTGTGACCAAAAATATATAAAAAGGAAGGATAATAATACAATAATTATACAATAATTATATTATATAACTTTAAATATAAGAATAATTATACACTAATTTATTATACAATAATTAAATAGTTAATAAAATATAAAATGAAAAAGCTATGAAATTAAATAACAATTTATTCATATGTAGCTATATTTACATAAATATTATCATTTTTTGAAAAGTAACGAAAAAAGTAATGGTTTTTCTTGTTACTTTTGAGTAACGTTGAGGCGTTCCTTTTTACAATCGGTAACGAGTAACGAATAACGTATTTCTTTTTATCGCAAGTAACAGTAACTCTAACGCGTTACATAAAAACGGTAACGTTAATCCTGCTTATTTGTACACCTAATATATATATATATATATATATTGCATATTATATTATATTATATACATATATGTATGTACAATTCATAAATACTACTGTAAATTTTTAGAGTTTCAAGTTCAACTATTTATTTCACATTTAATATATTAATTATTAGCTAATCTAATTCTAAAATCTAATAATTTTAGGCATTATAAAAGAAAAGTAACAAATCGTTACATTTTAAATAACGGTAACGGTAACGAGTTACTTTTTTCAAAAAGTAACGATAATGATAAGCGTTACTTTTTTGAGGTAACCCGTACAACTTTTGTAGAAATAAACTCATGTATGTGTGCACGATCGTCGCAGGTGCGGATTGTAGCCAAAGAAGTGACCGTGGATCTTGGGAGAGTGTCACGTATAAGGATCTACCACCGGAAGGCTCAGCAAGTCACTGTTCCATCGTTTGGAAGGATTCGCTGTACGTGGTTGGCGGCGAGAGTTTCCGTCGTTCCAAGATGATATACGTATATGATTATAACGGCAATGTTTGGGAGACACCTCACATCGAGGGCCGAATGCCATTACCGCGATATGCGCATTCGTGCGTGCTATTTGGCGACAAGATATTCATGTATGGTGGCGTCGTGGAAAACTCTACCGTGACCAACGAGATATGGGCGTTTGATGTGTCCTCTAAGATCTGGGAGAACGTTACCGTGCACGATAATTGTCACAACAAGACAATATGTGGCCCACTAAAAGTACGTGTATTTTATTTTAAAAAACCGAAGAATATAATGATTAAATTAATAAAGTAAATTAATAATGAATTAATTAAAAGAATTTAGATTTATATGATAACAAATCATTTTTGTTACAGTGATTAATCTCTACTACAGTCAATATTAAACTATTAATTGTTGAAAATTTTCGATACTACTTTGCTATCTATAGGTAACTTTTGGCGATTGTTTGGTACATACTGCATGTACCAAAATTGTTATTAGTAGATATTAGTAGGATAGAGTTTATTCCGATAACTTGTATGTACAATTATAGTGTTAAAACTACTAGTTATTTTGTATGCACGAATTCGATACTATTTAAAAATTATTTTTTATAAAATATAAAATGAAAAAGCTATGAAATTAAATAACAATTTATTCATATGTAGCTATATTTACATAAATATTATCATTTTTTGAAAAGTAACGAAAAAAGTAATGGTTTTTCTTGTTACTTTTGAGTAACGTTGAGGCGTTCCTTTTTACAATCGGTAACGAGTAACGAATAACGTATTTCTTTTTATCGCAAGTAACAGTAACTCTAACGCGTTACATAAAAACGGTAACGTTAATCCTGCTTATTTGTACACCTAATATATATATATATATATATATTGCATATTATATTATATTATATACATATATGTATGTACAATTCATAAATACTACTGTAAATTTTTAGAGTTTCAAGTTCAACTATTTATTTCACATTTAATATATTAATTATTAGCTAATCTAATTCTAAAATCTAATAATTTTAGGCATTATAAAAGAAAAGTAACAAATCGTTACATTTTAAATAACGGTAACGGTAACGAGTTACTTTTTTCAAAAAGTAACGATAATGATAAGCGTTACTTTTTTGAGGTAACCCGTACAACTTTTGTAGAAATAAACTCATGTATGTGTGCACGATCGTCGCAGGTGCGGATTGTAGCCAAAGAAGTGACCGTGGATCTTGGGAGAGTGTCACGTATAAGGATCTACCACCGGAAGGCTCAGCAAGTCACTGTTCCATCGTTTGGAAGGATTCGCTGTACGTGGTTGGCGGCGAGAGTTTCCGTCGTTCCAAGATGATATACGTATATGATTATAACGGCAATGTTTGGGAGACACCTCACATCGAGGGCCGAATGCCATTACCGCGATATGCGCATTCGTGCGTGCTATTTGGCGACAAGATATTCATGTATGGTGGCGTCGTGGAAAACTCTACCGTGACCAACGAGATATGGGCGTTTGATGTGTCCTCTAAGATCTGGGAGAACGTTACCGTGCACGATAATTGTCACAACAAGACAATATGTGGCCCACTAAAAGTACGTGTATTTTATTTTAAAAAACCGAAGAATATAATGATTAAATTAATAAAGTAAATTAATAATGAATTAATTAAAAGAATTTAGATTTATATGATAACAAATCATTTTTGTTACAGTGATTAATCTCTACTACAGTCAATATTAAACTATTAATTGTTGAAAATTTTCGATACTACTTTGCTATCTATAGGTAACTTTTGGCGATTGTTTGGTACATACTGCATGTACCAAAATTGTTATTAGTAGATATTAGTAGGATAGAGTTTATTCCGATAACTTGTATGTACAATTATAGTGTTAAAACTACTAGTTATTTTGTATGCACGAATTCGATACTATTTAAAAATTATTTTTTATTCTAATATGATGTACAGTAGAAGATATATTGTATATATATATATATATATATGTATATATGTGTCATTCCACGTCAACTGGGCCACCCCCGTGACTAAAACTGTACGCAACTAAATGTAACTTATAGGATTCCAAAATTTAGGTTGAAGCTTCTAGTTTTCGATGCCATGTGGCGATTTTGAAAAACATCAAGCAATGACCTTGATTTTGTCCGTTAAATAGAAAAGAAGCAAAATTGTGCAATTTTTAGAAAATCGTCGGCCATATTGGATCCGCCATTTTGAATTTCTGAAAACGGACTTCAGATTCGTAATCAGCAACCCAAAAAATCCTTATACCTCAAAGTAACATTTTATTATTTGAAATACATGAGCTAATAATGATTTTTTTTGTTATATGTGGTGTTTTTTTGCGTTCCTTTGTTTATAACAATGCCTTATTGCTAAAATTATATACATTAGGTAATTTCTTTTGTTTATCCAAGGTCTTGGTACCATGAATTAAAAAGATTTATCATTTTCTATAAAAAAATAACTCGTGTACATTCGAAAATGTACGAAACAATATGTGGTCAGTACTACTGACCACCGTGCTGCTAAGGGTTAAGAGATTTTCATTAAGTCCTGATGATACACTACGAGAGTACTAATATTAGATAATAAAAAAATTTGAATTAAAAGAATAAAAATAATAAAAAAAGATTACAAAAATAAAAGTTAAAAAAAGTAAAAAAATAACAATAGACAATGACAATAAAAAGTAAAAAAAATAGGTAAATAAGAAAAAATAAGAAAAAGTAATGCGGGCTTTGGTAAGTAAACCAGAGACAGGCTTAACCCTGTTCGAACGCAGAAAGCTTTTTCTTAATATTATTGGTTAATTTTAATTACAGATTTCGATTCAGCATACAAAATTACATTGAAAATAGCTATTGGACCTTGTTTAAAAAAAAATAGTGGAGATTGGAATAATGAAAATTTCTTTTCTATTTAACCTTGACAAAATCAAGGTCATTACTTGATGTTTTTCAAAATCGCCACATAGCATCGAAAACTAGAAGCTTCAACCTAAATTTTGGTATCCTATAAGTTACATTTAGTAGCGTACAGTTTTAATCAGAGGGATAGCCCAGTTGACGTGGAATGACTCATATATAAAAGATAAATCTATTTAGCGGCTAAATAATACAAACAAAGTAAAAGGTCGAGTATTTGCCACACACTGGATGGAGTTTGTGAAATTTGATTAAAGGCGTTAACAAAAATTGAGTACAATGTATTATAAATTTGTATGAGAGTATTTACTTATATTTTGCCGCATAATTGAAGAAATGGACATGGAAGTATGGTTGAAAATTAGTTCGTGTATTGTAAAAAAATAAAAATTATAATAATTAAAGATGCGTATTCCGTTAACAGTGAGAGTGATATTTAATTTACAATGTCAGATTGCTATATGGATTATATAAACTAGTGTTTATGTAGGAGAAACTGAGTTGTGTTTTGGTGGGAGAATGATTTTAGAAGAGGAAGGAAAATGTCCGGAAATTTTTCAGTGTCACTTTGTTTATTAATGCTATTGACTTGAGATGTTATGAATATCATTTCCGATATCGATCTTTTGTGATATTGTGATTCGGTGTCCAAAATAGTTACATAATCCCAATCCATTTTATGATCTAAATTAAGTTGAAGAAATACCACCGAGTTATTATTAATAGGTTTTCGTGTGTCAGCTTTAGGTTCTTTAACTCTAGTTTTTAATTTTCTTTTGGTTTTTGTTCAATATACGAACAATTCTCTCTCTCACAATCTATACAATTGATTTTAGAAATTACATTATTACTATCTTCTTTGTTAAATTTATCTTTGCTTGTTTTAATATATTTGTTTAATTTATTAATAGGTTTGTAAGCTGTATTCATATTGTATTTTCTATGGAGGTTGTTAAATGTTGTTTTTCTGATACGTTTTTTGATGTATGGGACCGTACAAAATTTTTTTTATTATTATGACAGAATTATTATTGTAATGATGCCTCCTAAAGAGCATCGTCACTATGGTGTCAGCGGTAATAAGGGCGCAATGCGCCTGTACATATACTAACAAGGGAACACAACCAAGTGTATCTCTCCGATTTAAATGAGCTTTTAGTATGTTGTTCTATGGACAAAAATAAGAGACACGTATTTTTTTATACGTGCTGAGTCGCATGTTAAGGGAGTGAAATCCTCCCTTGAAAAAAAATCGGTTTTTTTCTTTCGAAGCGAATATCTTCGAAACTATAAGAGATAGAAAAAAATGTTTAGAATAAAAATTGAATGATTGCAAGAGTACTTTATAAGTATAATGGAACAAATTTTTTTTAAGTATTTATTTATTGTATACCCCCTCCTCCACTTATTTTCAAAAATTTTTTAATTTTTTATATGACGAAAATTAAAGAGAATTTTATGCTGAAAATAACGGTGTGTATTTAAATCACGTTCCGAAAAATCATTTTTCAGATATGAACGAAAACGTCTCTTTATATGCGCTCCATACGTATTCGTACCGCGTTGAGGGCACAGGATATCTACCGTTGAAGGCTAGTTGTGTAATAAAGAATGTTTAATTTAAAACATGAAGATAAAAATAACAACAATAAAAATTACAAACGTTTCGACACCGATCGAGTCTTAATTTTATAGTAAATACATTATTATAAAATAATTAGAAATCTACAATATTGCTTTATGGTAGTATTATCGTTTTCTTCCCATTATCAAAATGTTGCAAGTCAACAAATTAAAATAGTAAGATTGGGTCATTGAAAAATTCATAGTAGTAATGCAGTAAATTAAATTTATAGTTTTCAATGTTAGTATTACATAAAATAAAAATAAAAATTATATAAAGTACAAAATACTAAAAATATATTAGAGTACCTAATGTTTCGGAACTCACAAGTCTTTCTTCAGGGATTCTTGAAGATGTTACAAAATCATAGAGATGAATAATCTTACGATGTAAGCGACATAGCGTGGTATAATTGTTCCGAAGAATTTATTCGCCTGTTTTTATGTAAATTGTGTCTAAAAAGTGAGAAATTCATTGTCGTCAATATGAAATAAAAGTAGTCAAGAGGTAAAAACAGGATAAGCAATTTAAATTAAAAAATAAGAAAATATTTTATTTAAAATATTTAAAAAAAGATGATTAAAATTATTTTAATAACCTTCCTTACGTTTTTATATTAATTACATTATACAATTATTCTTATATTTATAACTTCTATATCACATTTGAATTATATTTT